AATGGTTAAACCAAATGTGTTATTTGGCTACGGCTTGATCAAGATTTAATTAATCTGTAAACAGTTCTCAGGCCCGAAAGTCCTCATTGCTGTGCTGGGTGCTGCAAGCTACTGGGATGGACTCATCAGGAGCCTCACTGAGGGCTCCAGACAAGGACAATAATGCACAGGTACCTCCCAAGCCTGCAGGGGAGGTAGGAAAGGGCTTCCTGCTGGGGTGGGGGTAGACAGCTCTTTGCAAAGCTGGCTCTTGCTAGCTCTTTGCAAAGGCAGCTCTGACCCATTCTGCAGGTTCTGACCAACAGGTTCCCTATGCAAGAATTTCCCATCACTTTTTCCAGCCACGTAGCCCTGGTTATTTGATGCAGCACTTGTTTCCTTGTCTTTTTCTTCAGCTCCCTGCTGGATTGTAACCTTCTGGAGGATGGGACCACATCTGCCTTATCCATTGCTGAGTCCCCAGCACCTGGCCCAGGGTCTAGAACATCTTAGGTGCTCAACAAATTCATGCACAGACGGAGGAATGCCAGAGAAGGTAGCCTTTGAGCTGTGCCTGAGACAGTCACACTCTCCAAACACAAGCAGCTCTGCTCACTGGGACACACAGCGAGCACAAGGGGGACGCAGAGGCAGGGGTTCCCTTTGTGCCAGCCCCTTACAATGGGAGCACAGCACCACCTGGACTTTTGGCTAACTCCAAGACATTGAGACCCAGAGGTTTATGTCCTCCTGCACAATACCCCCAGCCCCAGAGACCATGAGGACCCCAGGACTGGCATGAGGACAGCCTTCTAACCAAATGAGCCAGGGCCTAGGGAAGTCCCCCAGAACCTTGCTGGGTGAGCTGCAGGGTAGATCACCATCACCACCATCTACAGTGGCTCCCCATGTGCCAACCCTTCCTGAACCTCACCTCCTCTAAGCCTCATGACATCCTGTGCCAAGAGACTGTGGTTCCCAGGGATAGAGATGGCAGCTGAGGCTCCGCCCCCAAAGACTTGAGTAATTCACAGCCAGGTCTGCCTGATTGCAAGCCTAGGCTCACCACTTCTACCCCCACCTCCCCACAATCTGCATAGAAACCTATTGTAAGGGGTGAGAAATAGCTCCTGCAGAGGGTCCCTGGCATCTGGGGAGACACCCACCTGGTACCAGATGGGTCTGGGACAGATGCTGCCCCTGAGAACTGAGCCCCATCACAGGACACCCCAGCTTCCAACTCCACCTTTCTCTTCCTGTTCAGCCCCTTCCCCATCAGGGCCTCAGTGACCATGGCAAAGCAGGTTCCAGCTACATCCGTCTCTCGCCTTCTCTGCTCTGGGCGCCCACAGCCTGATGTGAATCTCTCCTGCTGTCTGGCCTGAGCACACCCTTTGCTTCCCATGTCACCCTACGGCAACCACCCTCCAGGCTCCACTCCTGCAGGGTGCCCTGAGCCCAGTACATGCACCCCTCGGGCTTCCAGGCATATGCACATGTGATGCCTCCTTGATCCCCCCACCCAAAATGAAGATCTTTTCCCTCCTTGATCTCCCAACCCCAAATGAAGATCTTTTCCTTCCCCTTTTTTCATCTTTCTGTCCCCTTTTCAAGGCATCTGTCACTTTCTACCTCGATCTACTGCTCTTTCCTAAGCCTCCATTCCTAGGGCTGCCCATAGGGTACAGAGGCATCACTGGCAGGTGACAGGATTTTAAGTGAGCCAAGAACAGGGCAGTAAATGACACCAAACTTCTTTGGGGAAAGTCTTTCCCTTTCTGTTACTCTTCTTAACTTGGAAATCTCCCTGCAGAACTGAGAGGGAACAGTCATCAGGCCTAAGAAACCTGCGAGCAGTCTTATTTCTCAAATTGAAGTGACAGGGGATGGACTCTGCCAGGTGGGGGATGCTGAGCGCCCAGAGGGGCTAGACATGGAGGTGCCTTCAGGTTCCCAAGAGGCTGCAGAGGGTTGGGATTGAGAGGCCAGGAGAGCAGAAGGCAGGAGGGCCTGAAAATGTGGGCTTCATGAAAGTCTTAGACACAGGAGCCTGGAGTTCTTTTTAAAGAAAGGGAGCACTTTGCAACCTCTGCAAAGATGGCCCTGAGCCAAGCATCCTTCCCACAGGCAGGAGAGCCCAGGTGGCTTGGAGGAAGGCCTGGCCCCGGGGCAGAGGCTGCCCTGGCCCAACTACCCAGCTTGGTCATGTGTCCTGTGGTCACCCACCCAGAGCTTCCAGACAGCCTTTCAGGGCCCTATTCTTAAAATTGTAGAGAAAACGAACTGGGAAAGGTCCCAGAAGGAGAGGGATGGAGAAAAACTCAAAGGAATTCCAGAAGGGACTCTACGTGAGCTCTCTTCGAGGAGACTATAGCCCCCTGGCCCTGGCTCACTTCTAGGATATGGGGCTTCCAGTAGTTTCTCTGCACAAGGCCCCAGAGATCACACAGGAAGTCAGGAATAAAGACACTATGAAGGGCCATGCAGGCAGGGGCCTCTGAAGCTCAGGGTTCAACCCCCAGGTGACGGATAACGACAATGGCCAGCTCAGGGAGGTGACATCCCCTGGACACCCAGCCAGAAGGTCAGCCACACTGGGGCACAGAATTCCTGGAATTTTCTCTACACCCCCTGGAGTGCTGAGGGTAAGGATGGAGAGGAGGAATGATTTACAACATGGGGGATGAGGAAGACATAACTTCTCAGTATCCAGGCTGGGCTCATGTTCTGATTCTATTGACGCTGTTATGAAAAATCTCTCCAACTGGCCAGGCGCAGTGGCTCACACCTGTAATCCCAGCACTTTGGGAGGCCCAGGTGGGCAGATCATCTGAGGTCAGGAGTTCAAGACCAGTCTGCTCAACATGGTGAAACCCTCTCTCTACTAAAAAAAAAAAAAAACAAAAAAAAAACAAAAAACAAAATTAGCTAGGTGTAGTGGCACATGCCTGTAATCCCAGCTACTCGGGAGGCTGAAGTGGGAGAATCACTTGAACCCAGGAGGCGGAGGTTGCAGTGAGCAGAGATCGTGCCACTGCACTCCAGCCTGGGCAACAAGAACAAAACTCTGTCTCAGAAAAAAAAAAAAAAAGAGAGAGAGAGAAAAATCTCTCCAACTTTCCAAGCATTGGCTTCCCAATGAAAAGCCAGCCCTCACTGTGAGTGAGGGGACCGTTCCAGGGAGAGGCCCAGCTAGTGCTGCACACAGGAGAGGTTGGCTCTGGGAAGCTCTATCACCACCCACCCAGGCCGGAACTCTCCCCTCATAGAGTCCGTCTTTCTCCCACCATCTGCTGCTTCTCAGAAGTGAGGGGGCTGACCTTTTTAGTCCATGAGCCTCACAGAGATTAGACATTATCCCAAGTCGCAAAGTAGATTACTTCCTGTCTCAACAGAAGAGTGTGGCCAAGCTGAATGTCTGCCTCAATGACTGCTCATGAAATTCCCGAGTGTGTGCACCTGTGTGCCTGCGTCTGTGTGTGTGTGTTGGGGGAAGAGGGACAGGTCCACTCTCCTGGGTGAGGCCCAAGCTGTGGGGAGTCCCCTAGGCCTTGGGGCAAGGGCTGCTGAGGAGCTGTGGCCTCTCTGACCACCCAGCCCCCATTCTCATACATTGAGAAAGGTCACTTGGTGAAGCGGGGATGACAATTCTGCCACCTCCTTGCAGAAAGGAGATCAAATTTGGAGGTGCTGTGGACGCATGTTATTCCACACCAGGCGGAGGAGTCTCGGGCCTGGCAAGGGTCCTGAGCAGACCGAGCACCCAGCTCAAGGTAAGAAGGGCACTTGGCTCCCCTGGAGACAGCCCTATCCTGCCCCAGGCCTCTTCGGGACTGCAGGGGTTAAAGTTACCTCACCACTGGAATCCATGAGATAATAGACTCTGCTTCCTGTGATAACTTGGACAGGGTGTTTCTATTTTTTAATAGAAAAAGTGCTAGTGTCCCAGTCATTCTTACAGTTTCACCAAAAACAACGTGGGAAGTGACATGTACTCTAAATTTTATTAAAAGAAAAAATTCTTAAGAAAAGGGGACAGGTACAGTGGCTCCTGCCTTTATCCCAGCACATTGGGAGGCCAAGGCAGGCGGATGGCTTGAGCCCAGGAGTTGAAGGGTGCAGCGAGCCATGATCGCACCACTGCATTCCAGCCTGGGTAGCAGAGTGAGACCCTCCCTCTAAAATAAAAATAAAATACCTAAATAGCTTAATTGTTTTACTGTGGAATTCCTTTTCAGAATTTTCTCTCAAAATTATAACCTCAAATTAATCTCTTTATAAGCTAATTCTGCCAGATACAAAAATAATCTCTCCATTTAAAAGTACTGTTTACTGATGCTATACCATAAAGATATAAAAATCAGGTTTTTCTGAAATTGGGAAACCCCTGTGGAGACAGTGGAGGGCTGCAGCCAGCACTGGGACTGGAGCGACACTGCTCTGAGCCAAGGAACGATGTGGGTGACTTTCTGAGTATCCCCCAAAGTAGATCCCGAGGCCTGTGCTTCTCAAATCTTCTCTGCCAGGATGCTGGTGGAGCCATTTCCCAGCTGGTGTCTCTGGCCCAGCGAAGCCTGAAGGAAGGCAGTGGTTCTGGGATGCCTTGTGGATTTGCCCCAATGCCTTGTTGGCCCAGGGACCCTGGGGATGCTGTATAAGGAAGGAAAATATGTGAATATATCCCAGGAGAAAGGTAGTATGGCCAAGCAGTCTAAGGTGCTGGATTAAGGCTCCAGCCTCTTCAGAGGCACAGGTCAATCGAATCCCACCACTGTCAACTTGTTGTGATTTCTTCATTTTGCTTGGGATCTGAATTCCATTTGGCAGTGCACAGCCATCCAGTGGTTGGGCTTTGTGTGAAATTCATTGATGCTAGTGTCCACAGCAAGTGAGATGGGTTCAGCTCTTTCCAGGTGCCAGTGGTTGAGGTGGAAATGCAACAGCATAAATACCCTTGGGGTGTTCTAGGCTAGTCCTCAGTGTAATAAATTTGAAGTTATGAGGAGAAAAGTAGAAGGAGCTGCTTCCACCCGGTTTTGAACCGGGGACCTTTCGTGTGTTAAGGGAACATGATAACCACTACACTATGGAAACCTGCGTGGTTTTCCTGCGCCAACATAATCAGCCATCAAAGGGTCATATTTAATTTCCCATGATAATTCTAAGTTTCTTCCATGGGTCATGATAATTCCAAGTTTCTGTCTTGGCTACTGGGCAGGAGCACACAAGAAAAGGATGTTTCAGCACTTGGAAGGCTGAGGAGGGAGGACAGCTGGAGCCCAGGAAGTGGAGCCTGCAGTAAGCTATGATTGCTCCACTGCACTACAGCCTGGGAGACAGAGCAAGACTCTGTCTTGAAAGAGAGAAAAGAAAGAAAGAGAGACAGAGAAAGCAAGAGAGAGAGAGAGAGAGAGAAACAAGAAAAGGAAGTTTTCATGCCTGATGTGGTGGCATAAGTGGGCATAGGAGTCCTGAGAGAGGGTGTGGTGGCAACCTCAGAGAGACGTGAGGATGGCAGCCAAGCTGTCTGGGTTGACCATGGACATGGGAGTTGAACAGCAGGGGCGAACTTGCACCATTTTCTAAGACAGGAGACATTTGGAAGAAGCTGTTTGGGGAATATGAGGCCCATTTATGTGTGGGCATAAATGTGTGGAGTTGGAGGTGTGGGCCTGGAGAAATTGGAGTGGAAATGAAAGTGAAAGTAGCCTGTAACACCATTTTTATTGTTCCATTGTTTGGAAGAATGCCAGACAATCCAAGCAGCCACTACTGTTGGACACTTAGATTACTTTCCTCCCATTAGCAATGTGCAAGTGTTATGAGGGCAACCTCCTTGGCAGCACTGGGTACTTTTCACTTATTATTATTCTTGTTATTTAACTTCTAGCCATCCTTGTGGGTATGTAAACTTATGGTTTAAGTTTGCATTTAGTTGATGAGGAAAGATGATAAGCACTTCTTCATGTATTTATGACCTTTTTAAAAATATTCCATTGTGAGGTATCTCTTAAATATCTCTTTCATTAAAAACAAACAAACAAAAAAACCCTTAAAAACAAAAGAGGTGGTCTGGCATGGTGGCTCACACCTGTAATCCCAGCACTTTGGGAGGCCGAGGTGGGTGGGCCGTTTGAACCAATGAGTTTAAGGCAGTCTGGGCAGCATATTGGGACACCATCTCTACAGAAAATCCCAAAATTAGCCAGAAATGGTGGTGGGCACCTGTAGT